CTTGAGTCAGTCGCCCTCGTGCAGTGCTGGATCTGTCCCACCCTGGGGGCAGGCAGTACCAGCCTGTTCTGTCTGCAGGTTTCTAGCTTCCCCCAGTGCTCGTCCACACTCAAGGGGCTGCATCAGCTCCCATCACTGCTGCTTTTCATCCCAAGCACATTCGCTCATCCCCCTGCTTCCTCTGGGGCTTCGATTTGACCCAGTAGCCTCCGTTCTCCTGCGGTGCTGCGCAGCCACCGTGCCTCACCCTAGAAGTAGCTGCACTTTTCTGGTGGGTGAGCTGATCTCTGCTGACATGTCAGCTCGTTAAATCCGCAGGGCCCTTCAGGGCCATTCTGGCTGAAGGGAGAGCCATGTGGCGTAAATCTAAAGCGTGGTTTAGTTATTAACATAAAAAGCAGCTGTGCTCCTGTTAGATTTGTGCAAAAAAAAAAACATGCAGCTAACGATGACCAAGCCTGAAGCATGCCTAGCAGACAGCACACGCGCACGTTTTCAGTGCGCGCCGGAGTAATATGGAGGTCAGGCTTTAAAGGAAAGTATTTGGGCCCTTGCCAGGTAGACAGACAGCATGAATGAAACACCTGTTCTGGCTTTGGGAGGGTTTTGGAAGCAGTTGATTACAGGGAAGGTACAGGCTGACCTTAAAGTGAATTGAATTCTCTGGTGTAGAGTAACATGTCCTGCTAGATTATGAAACCTCTTGATCTATTCGTGCAAATGTCCTCCGCAGACAAAACACAGATGCGTGCCTTTTTTTTGTTTGTTTTTAACTAAAAGGTGCTGCCCAGGCATTGAGAATTGACCAGCTATGAATCAAAATAGTCTTTCTCAAATTTGAATGAATGTCGAAGTGGGAACGCTGCACAGGAAATAAAGATAAGATACATTAAAGGGATTTTACAAAGGGGAAAAAAAAGCTATTAATTCCAGATGTCTTTTAATCCTGCTCTTGCTTTCTTGGAGCTTCTGAGTTTTAGGGGTTTGCATTTTCACATAATGCAATTCAGTTTTGAGGAGATACAAAGGAGATTGCCTTTCCAAGAGCTGTTTCCCGTTGCATCACCGTATCAGGCTGCTTTGGTAGGGTTTGTCCAGTTTTAACTGTGCTTCTGCTAACATTGCAAAACCAGCATCGGGAGTATTTTAATCAAAGCAGAGGGTGCTTGTATAACACCACAGTATAGAATATTATGGCTTGCAGTAGAGGGGCAGATTAAGTAGTGTGGGGAGTCTGCTCACCCCTTCTGGCCTTCGGCTTTGTGCATTCCTAAGAACAAGGCTAAGAAAGCGAGGCAGATCCTGCTCAAATTCCTCATGCCTTCAGCGAAAACTTTGCAGCCATTTCCCAGTGCAGACCCAAACCGTGCCCAATCCCCCAAGATACAGGAGGGTTGAAGAGGCTGTAATTGAGCTGTCAGTTTGGAGAACAAACAGGGAAAATGTACTTTGAGTCGCTGTTTGGGGGCTGTTTGCACAACTGTCTGTGTGTGCAGGCGTGGGGGGGCTGTGTGAACAGGGAGCTCCTCTCCACGCTTCTTCGAGCTGAGCAAACCCAACTACGAGCTCACTGGAAGACAGGGACTCGAAACCTGCTGATGTCTTCTGCTTTGTTCTGTTTTACAGTCCTCTCAGGTACAGCCTGTAAAATTACGAAGCTGGAGGCGTGCTTGAAGGCTATTGATTGCTCTGGTGGCTTGCGCTGGTTCAGTTCCAGCTCATGTGGAATTAATTCGCAGCATCTAGTAGCTGATCTTGACGCACGTGTGTCGGGACACGACCTGCTTATGAAAATGGTGATGTAGGTGCCGTGTTGTTAGGTCACCACCCAGCAAAGCTCAGGAAACACATTCCTTCACACCGCTTGCAGCAGAGTAGTAGAAAAGTAATTAAATCTGCCTTAAGACAACATGTTCCTGACCCCACATAATGCACGGTACAGAAACCATATGCTGGGTTATTTCTCTTGGCTCAGGCCCTGCTTGCACTGACAGCTCTGAATGTAGTGCTACCTTGCTAGGAAGTCCTGTGCAGGAAGGCAACACTTCTCCTTCCACTGGCCATACGTTGGTTTTCTCAGAGTGCGGAGCTTCTTTGCTTTCTCTGTGTAATTTCTCTGTGTAATAGACAACACAAAGCCAGTTAATTTATTACCAGCAAGCAGAACCTGTTGGTATTCCCACTGGATTACTCGATCGGCCTCACTTCTGTCTGTGGGACATGCAGAGGTTAAAAGGGGACAAGTAGATAGGAAGGCTGCTGACCGCTATTTGATGAATCTTTGTTCAGGTTTAAAAACTGGGTTCCCTAAATGAGGTAAGCTTTGGGGAGCCCAAGCCTTACATTTGTTCTCAGACCTCTCTGAAGCTCCTTCCTTTCCCAACACCCTCCCCAAATGCTGGCATTTCTTCAGGTTTGTGGTTTCTGGTGGCAGCTTCTTGGAAGCTCTTCATGGTCCTACAATTTTTAAGAAGGCAAAACGAAAAACTCCAGTGGAATTCAGATGCCTTTAGTGGCTGCAGATGGATAGCAGCCTGGCTGAAGTCATGTCGCTACACGTAGTTTGGGAGAACAGTTGAGCAGGATTGCCAGGGGCTGGATTTTTTCAGTTCTTTCTGCAGTTGGTGGCGGATTGGATTTAAACAGAGAAGTCTTTTTTGCTTCAGCACCTCCAGTGTGAGAGTCTGTCACCACAGCTCCTAGCTTCATGAAGCCAAGAGAAGAAGCACCATTGCTTGGCTCAAGATGCTAGTAAAATTCAAAGGGGAACAGGAGTAGATAACGTGAATAGTAAATGTCCAGAGCTGTTGAACTTAGTGCTTTAAAAAAGCTTCTTAAATGGGAGAAAGGCTTTGGTGTTCAACCAGATTTCCAGCTGTTGTAGACCAGGGAGGTCTTTTTGGGAGCAGTGTTCTTTGTCTGCCTGTGGGGGTTTTCACCTGCGCTGGTTGCTGCTGGTGGCTCTCGGGTGAGATGTGTGGCCAGGGGACTTGTGTCGGGGCCAGATTAGCAAATACATCCTGCCTTGTTTTCCTGTTAGTGGCTGGCATCAGGATGGGAGTTCCAGCCTGGTAACCTCAGCTTTTTGGTTAACCTCAAAATTGGGTGTTAAGCTCCATTATAAACCCTCTGCCCCTTTCTTTTAGTGATTTGGGAAGAAAAAAACAAACACTCAGAAACCTCTTTCCTTAAACCATTTCCCTTGCTTCTCTGAGCGCTCCCGCACAGGTGGCCCCGGCGTGTTTCCAGTCCCTGAGCTGCTGTTGCAGAGTAGCTCTGCGGCTGATTGAGGCCAGCTCGGGCTGCAGAAGGGGCATTTTTCCTGCAGGGTGCTGCTGAGCCTGTGCCACAAAACCCATGTGCTAGCTGTGATTTCGCTCTGGATGGATTGTTCACTTCCCTTAATTGCCTTTTGGAGGGGTGATTAATTACGTGCCACAACATTACCACTAGAGGGATTACAGATATTAGACTGGCCAGAGTGTTTTGCCTTGTAACAATCTTGTGGGGGTGGGAGAAAGCTATTTTCTTAATCTGTGCCCTGCTTTCCTTGTTAACTCCTTTCATGTATTCACAGATGCCATGGGGTATAAGCAGCTAATGAAATATGGCGTTAGATAAAGTTTGAGGAAGTTTTAATTCCAGCTCTGTGGCGTATTGGTTTCCTGTCCATAAACACGTTCGTTAACCATTACTGCAGATCAGAGGTGGTACACTCAGAGGTGGTTGTTCCACGTTCCCCAGAGCAAGCTGCCCACCTTAATGTGGACTTCAAAGGGTAAAGGCTGCCCGTGCTTTTTAAAATAATTTGTTTTCAAGGGCTCTATTTAGCTTTTAAATTATATATTCGCCTGCTAAGTAGTAAGACCTGGCATTAAGTGGGAAAACCAGGGGGAAAACCTCCAAAGAAATGAGCAGGAATGGGTTAAAGACGCCTGGAAGCCCTTTAGGAACCCTGTGGAGCTGAAGGGATTTGGAGGCTGTGCTCGGTGCTTGCTGGCCATGTGGCAGCGGGCACCCTGCAGCACCCTGCACTCAGTCCTGGTGTCCTGGTGCAGCGCAGGCTGTGCATGCCCGGGGACAGGCAGCAGTGACTTTTCTCAGCAGGATGGCTCCTGGGGACTGGCCACCAAAAGGACACGGAGATGGCGATGAGAGGCAGTGGGCAAATGCTCAGCAGCAGCCTCTGAGGACCTGGGCACACTTAGGAGCTTGTGGTGCTTCCTGTGGGGTTCAGACATGACAGGTCTCCAATGTCCGGAGTCCAGGCCTGATCTCAGTTGATTTATTCTGTATTTTCTTAGTGTAAAGAAAGAGCATGGGGCAGTTCAGGCACACCTTTTATCAGAAGAGTTTATTGCTTGATTTGGGGATTGAAGAGAAGCTTGCACGTGGTAGAAAATCAAAGCAGCTTTCTGATGGGTTTGGTGGTGTGCGTAACAGTTTTGGTGATGTGTTTTGCTGTTTGGGTGATGCATATAACTCACTGCTTTGGGGATGCGTACAACTAACTGCAGAGTTCAGTTTCTTACCCCAAAGGTGCTTTCCACCAACTCGTGCCATGGGTGACAGCACCGGGGGGGCAGGTGGGGAGCAGGAGAGTAAGGAGTTCTCTTACTCTCGAGGAAAGTAAGTCGGGTTCTGTGTGGGACCTTTTAACGCTTTGTTAATTAGTAATAGGGCTTTTCCTGCAGATAAACCAACCTATCGGCTAATGGAGTTTATTAACGCCCTGAAAACACCGGCGAGCGAGCCCACGGCAGCGCCGCGCCGCAGACACAATGCCCACATTGTTCCCCGCGAACATCCTATCCCTTCCATTCCTTAAAAACCAACAAAAAAAAAAAAAAAAAAAAAAAAAACGCTTCACCCCGTTTGGCCTCTCCTCCCCTAAAGCCTTTAAGGGGGGGGGTTCCCAGGGCGAGGCCGGCTCCGGGGGGCGAGGAGGGGGGGTCCGGAGGCGGCGCTTGCCGGGGCTGAAGTAGGGCGGGCGCGGCGCGCCGGGGCGCACAGCCGGGGCTGGGGCTCGGGGGAAGCCGCTGCTCGCCCCCGCTGCCTCCGGGGAAGATGGCGAGGGAGGCCGAGGAGGGAGGCGAGAGGCTGGGGAGGGTGTTGAGAGGGTTACTGGGGATACTGGTGCTACTGGTGGTGCCGCCCGCCGCCGCCGCCGCCAGCCCCGCAGCTTCGTTCCCCGGAGACGTGAACGGGCACAGCCTGCACCCGCCCTACTTCAACCTGGCCGAGGGCACCCGCATCTCCGCCACCGCCACCTGCGGGGAGGAGGCGGTGGGAGCCGGCAGCCGCCGAGCCGTGGAGGATCTGTACTGCAAGCTGGTCGGGGGGCCGCTGGCCGGGGGGGACCCCAACCAGACCATCCAGGTAGGGCGGCGAGGGGGAGGCGCGTAACGTGGTTGGGGTGGTGGAGCTGCACCCCGGTATCCCCCTTTTTGGAAGGGTTGGGGGGGTCTAAGGGAGTCTGAGCCCTCCCTTTGTGCCACCCCCCTGGCCCTCGCTGCCTTGTCCCAGCCCTGCCACCCTGCTGTGGGTGCCAGAGGAGGGGGGGGGGGAGGCTGCGTGAGGGGCACAAACCCCCAGGACCCCCACTGGTGTTTTCCCATGTGGCCGGAGTTGATGCAGTTTTGGTGTCCTCCGGATCATGGGGGGCTTGGGCACCCCAGGAGGGGGTGAGGGGCGGGTTGGGTGCCCCCAGGCACCCCCCTCCTAGCCTGGCCGGGCTCTGCAGGAAGCCCCCCGGAGCAGCCAGGGCACGGAGCACACGTGCTCTGCTTTGCCGGGCTCCCCAGAAGTCGAACACGTGAAGCGTGGCTCGCTGGGCTCCCAGGGCGTTATTTGCACAGGGGTTGGCTCTTTATGGCCCTACGTCCTGGGTGAGCCGGCCCCTGAAGTCCTCTGCCAGCCAGAGAATCACTGTGCCACGCATGGTAATATTTAGCTTTGGGGGGGCTTAACTCTGAAATCCCCTCTGTGTTCGCTGGGGCATTAGGATGAGCAGAGGGAAAGTTCAGAGGAGAGTTTTACAAGCAAGCATCAGGTGACTTAGCTCAGGGGTCCCATTTTAAGCAGCCCGGAGGGAGCACGAAGCCAGGAATGCAGATGGTGTAAAAACTGCTGTGCAGCTTAACTGCCCCGGCCCTCTTAAAAAGAAGGAAGAAGAATTGTAAACAGGCTTGTAAAACACTCGCTTTAGCTGCAGGAACGCCGGACCTGCTGCCCCCCTCGGGGCAGCCCGAGCAAGGAGAAGCAACTCTGCCTCGAAATGCTCCTGCAGCACGAAACCCTCGGCAGAGCCAGCAGCTGCTGCCCACCAGCGTGTGCTGCTTGTGGGGTTGGCGGTGCCAGGTCACCTGTTGCAGCAGAGCGATGGGATTGTCCCTTCTGAATGCAGCAGGGATGAGGAGCGAGGGAGAAGCGTCAGCTTCTGGGAGAGAGCCTTTCTCGGCCTTTTGTTGGGGTTGGCTTTGTTGTAAGATGAGCTTCTGAAGCATTTTTCTCATTCTGGCCGCATTCTCCTGAGCCTGTGCCGGACGAGGAATTTTCTGGCTTTTGTGTTTACGAGGTGGAATTTTGCCTCGTTTGTCAGAGAAATTGTTGAGGATGTTACTGGAGGGCAAAAGCTGATGGAGTCTCCTCTGAGAGTTTAAAAGTGATCCTGTTTCACTTTGCTGTGCTGTAAAACACCAACTGGAGCAAGCTTTGCTTTAAGCAGCAGTACAGGGAGACCCTCGGGAGCTACCTGAAGTCATTGTGCCTACAGGGATGCACTTTTTTTTTTTTTTTAATGTATAAAAAATAAAGGAAAAGTAAAGAATGAACTGCTGCTGCGTGCAGTTACAAACAGATGTGAATAACCTCTCAAGCAGAAGTAGGAGGATAAGGCTACTTAGAAAAGCTGGCAGATGTGGGTCTGTGTTTATCCCTCTCCTTCTGTCTGTCTGTGTGCTGGCCCCACGCGCTGTGCTACGGAGGATAGTGGCTAAAATAAACCACAGGGGCTTGTGCCAGCCTCAAGGATAACTCATCCTCCACGTGCAGCCCTTTCCTGGTACCGCAGGGTGTGCAAATCCTCCTGAATAACCCCAGCTGCTGTATGGGGCTCCTTGGCTGCAGGTTTTGCTGCAGCCCCCTCCTGTCCCCTGCACAGCTCCTTTGATCTGAGCACCGCTTCCCAGGCCAGCACTCTTTGGTCGGGCCGAAAGCTTTAGAAAACTCCTTTTGTAGTGGCTCCTTTCCGTGACCACAGGCAGCACCTAGAGGGGAGGGGAGGAAGCAGGAGGCTGGGAGCAGAGGTCAGAGTTCCCAATTCATCCCCTTGAGGGGTTTCGGCACCACCCGGTGACTAAAGCAAAGAGGGGGGTGGGAGGGAAGTGTTCAATTTAGGCAGGCTGCAGTGGCAATAAGGAGCTCCACACTCCGTCCTCGGTATTTGTGTGTCCCACCGCAGTGCCTTCCCTTACCCATTCACCTGCTCGGTGCCGTCTGTGTGTGCTGGGGCCGTGGTGTAAAGGGGCTTTTCATCAGGAACTCAGGAGTGATGCCTCCTGGGACCCTCCAAGGGATTTCCACCTGCTGTGGCGGTGAAGGGAAGTTTGGGAAAGCATTAATGCAGCCGTCCTGTTTTCTGCCTTTCATTTGATATCGTCGTAGACTTTTAGGAAAGGGAATTCATGCACTTTAAAACATGATATTGTTAAAATGGTGATAATCGTTGAGCTTTCTAAGATAATGCTGCCCTAAAGACACTCAGTGTTTTTGGCACAGCTTGTGGGAAGGCTCTAAACCTTTTCAAGGAGTTTCCTTTGCTTTATTGAGGGCTCTTTGGCAGAAGACAGCATTTCTGACCGCGGGAGGCTTTTCAGCCTGTAAGGATGTGAGGCGAGGCGGTGCTGAGGTGCGCTGAAAGGGACTCCCAGGAAGATTTGCTCCCCTCCTTCCCCTCATTAATCAGCGGGGCCAGGCCCACCTTAATGAGAAGTGCCTTTGAGCCACCTATTGAAGCTGAGACAAAGGGGAGATTACAGGTTTATTTTCCTGATCAGGCTTTACCGAAGATGCTTGTAAGCTATCTGTCTCCCCAGGCAGGGGCAGAGGCACAGCGGGGTGCTCAGAGCCTCCCCATCCCACCCAGTTCCCCGGGGGCTATTCCTGAGCCCTGCCAAAGCCAGCAGGGGCTGCAGATGACTGCTTGATTTCAGGAGATTAGCAGTACAACAATAAGGGAAGCTACTGGCATTAATTGAGGCAATTACCTTAGAACTTAAAAATGTGCAACAAGCCGGACTGATTTCACATCACCACCTCGCGTGCTTTCATTTGAAACCTGCCCTCACCTAAGCCCTGCTGCCACAGAGCTCTGGTTTGCATGTTGAATTGCACCTGAGCAGTGTTGATGCTTACAGGAGGTCTTGTCTGGGTGTAACAGAGGAGGTCTGAATCTGTTTAATTCCTGAATGTTGTGGCATTTGCTGCCCTGTGTTCATCAGTGAGCAGCATTTCTTCATCCTGTGCTGTGTCACACAACAGCTGGTTGGGTGGCTGCAGTGCTGTGTGCCTCGCTTCTGTGTGTGAAAAGTGCTGGGCTCTGGGGGCTGAACTGCAGCTGAAATGGAGTAATTCTTAGGGCAAGCTGCTGTAGCTTGCAGGAGACACCTGGTGAACTTGGGGTGAGCAGCTGGGTGATCTGGGAGGACAGCCCCAGTAACAGCTCATGGAGCACCTCCTTGCCTTGTCTGCAATACAGCTTTTTGCACCCTGTTTCCAGCCCCACTTACCTCAGCCCAAACCGCCTGGGCTGGGTCACGCTCCCTGTGGTTTTCCGCTAAATGAGATGAGGAGAGCAGAGGTTGGGTCATGGCAAGGCCAGATAAACCAGGACAAAGCCATCTGCTTTCCCCGAGGCAAGCCCTGCCAGCAGGGTGCCGGGCCAGGCTTTGTGCTTGGGGGGAACTTCAGAGCTCCTATTGATGGGAGTGGGAGCAGGAGCAGGCCTTGCAGGAAGCTGCTCTCCATTCACATCTCCTCCTTATCTCCCTCCCTTGCAGTTTGCTCTGATAGCAGCAGTTTTGTGTTCCCTGAGCTGCTTTGCATCTTCCCTGCACTGCTTAAGCTCTTTCCTTGTCATACCTTGGTGCCATCCACGCCTCTCCTGCTCTGGTAACCTGCTGTCCGCTTACCCAGTGCCTCACAACTGCTTTTTAATTAAAATCCTCCACTGATGTCAGAGCTTCCCTTTCCCCATAGAGACCTGGTGTGCTGCACAGGAGCACAACTTGCTTTAATATGCACAAATAACTGGAAACGATTCTCACCAGATCTAGGTCCAGCTCTAATGAAACAACTAACGAGCAACTGGTGCATGGGGGGGGCTGTGATGCTTTTAACAGCAAGCTTAGCTCAGCTGTTGACGTGTTACCAGCCCCCTGGCAGCTAACACATGCAGGCTGCTCAGCGGTGCCGTGGGATAACATCAGCATTACAAATGTATAGCAGCTGAGCCTAATTTTTAGTCCCCTCTTATTAAGCTTGAATTGGCTGCCACCCATCAGTGCGAACGCACGGTTCGAAACGGTTTTTGCATCCGTAGCAAGAATCTGAAGTATGAAAGCACTTTGGGTTTTGTTGTTTATCCCCGTTTTGTAACCTTTCCTCGCTTCTCCCCGTCTCAGCGGTGTGCATCGTGCAGCAGAGCTTTCCACACAACCAGTTGCACCGGTTCCCCTTGAGGTTTGTGCTCAGGACTGGGTCAGTTTTATCTGCTCTGCTCGCCCTCCTTGCTCGGGGCGTGCTCCAGCAGGACACGTCCTGACCTCTCCGTCCAGCAGGAGCTCCCTGCCTGGCACCAGGGTGGTTTCAGCTGCCCTGCTCTTTGTCCTGGTGCCTACCCATCTGCTGTTTCCACCTTCCTGGGGGAGTTAATTAAGAGGTGTGCTCGTCTGGCACAATTTGCATTGCATAATTGCCTGCAAATAACATGGCCGTGGGGAGGAATGCAGGGAATTCTCAGTTCCCTTTGCACTGCAACTCTCCCAAAGTTTGGGGCATCTGGAAAATCTCTGGGGTGGCTGTGCCTTGCCTCAGCCCTCCTAGGGGCGCACGTGGAGCAAGCAGGAAGGAGACTGCCTGTCTTGAAATCGTGTACCTGGTGTAATATTAAAGCTGGCTGCAGCTGGGACAGGCAAGGGCAGCTTGTTTGCTGGGAATAGCTGCAGCTTTTAAAGGCAAATCGCCTGCAACAGAGTTCCCTTTCAGGCTCTGTAGCAGCAAGTCAAGTGACAGAACGGGGGCTCCACAAAACAAGTTCCTTGCTAATTTCAGGTTCCTTGCAGGTTTCCTTGCGAGTGGGTCAGATTCATTTGTGCGTTAAATAGGAAAGAAAGAATTGCCCTTAACAGCTTGGGGCTTTGTCTGATCCTGCTCAGGAGGTGCTGTTAAAGTTGCAGAGCTGTTTTTTTTTTTTTTTTTTTTTTTTTTTTTTTTTTTCTGGCATCGTGTCCAGGGAGCTGACAGAGACACTTGCACCACAAAAGCAAGGCAGAAAAAACTTCATGAGAGTGATTGCAATGGGGTCCCTGGCCAAGTGACAGCAGGGGCTGTCGCTTTCGGGCCTTGCATTGAAGCATCACCCGCGAAAGGGACTTGGCTGCTACACCATTAAGCTTGAAAACGTAGCTGAAAGGACTGTGCTTGTGAAATCATGGGTTGACAAGGAACAGATTGCGGAGTTGGACAGGAGAACTGGCAGCCTGGGTCTGTAGGGATGACTGAATGGCCCAGGTCAGGATCTCTGGGTATTGGCAGGGCTGTGAGTGGCAGCCCCAGCAGAGGAGCCATGGGCTGGTGGCCCTGGAGCTCGGGCTGCTGCTGGGCACAGTGGGTCGTGTTTTCCTGGCTACCATTAAATGCTGTCTCTGTGCTTTCCACCAGGGCCAGTACTGTGACATCTGCTCCTCGGCGAACAGCAACAAGGCGCACCCCATAACCAACGCCATCGATGGGACAGAGCGCTGGTGGCAGAGCCCCCCACTGTCCCGGGGGCTGGAGTTCAACCAGGTCAACGTCACTCTGGACCTTGGACAGGTAAGCCAAGTCCTGCTTGGGTGTGTTGGAGGCTGTGCTGGTGAGGACTGGTCCTTCTGGGCCCTTCTGGGCATCTGAAGTCCTTTAGTAGCCTTAGCTGTGAGGCTGAGATGAGACCTCCTCATTTAATGACATTTTCTGTTAAAACTTGGAAGGGAAAAACCTCGTCTGTCTGTTCGTAGCATTAACTGTCATCTGTATCATTTGCTGTTACTATTTAGCTTTTTTCCTAAAAGTTGGGTCATGAAAATCTCCTGTGCCACACAGGTGCCATTCCCCTAAATGGGGAGTGCCTGGCTCCTGAAGGGGTGCAATTTTTAGAAATACAGCTCTGAGGAATTTAAGGTTGTGCTGTAAAACTTTAACTGGCGTGTTTAAAGCTCTTTGAAGACAGCTAGCCCTGCTGAAGATCTTCCTGTAAAAGACAAAGGGTGACAATGGCTGCTCGGTCTCTAATGCTGGCAAGTCAAAGAGAATTAACATCGTAATAGCGATGACTGCCAGCCCACACCGCCTCCTCTGCTGCTCCTATTCAGCCCCAAACCCATTCGTCTGGCAGCAGGCTGTTCTGTCAGACCTTCCTCGGCTTAGGGAAAGCAGCGGGAAAGATGTCCCATCCGAAGCTGCAGGAAAGAGCAAAGTGTCAGAAACCAGAGGCCTGAGGGGCTGCAGGATGTGGCTCTGCTTACTGGTGCGAGGTCTGAGGGATGGGGGGCTGCTGTGTGGGATCCCCCTTCCTTGGTGGTGCTGTGCTGCCTCATCTCTGCCCCCAGCACCTCTCTTATGGGGAGAGGGAGACTCAAAATCCCCAGGATTGTCCCTGATCTGCTCCCTGCTGTGTCACAGCACCTGCTCCGAGCCTCTCAGCACCCTCCCGGCTCTGTTCTCTCCCGTGCGTGCCAATACACAGCACCACCAAAATGTCCCCGACTCCCCATACATCGCACAGTGCTGTGTGGGCAAAGCCTTCTGGGGCTGCACACAGTGTGCTGGCCCTGGTAGCCGACGTAGGTGGCATCTGCTGGCTCTCAGAAACCTCCCTGCTGGCAGGGCTGTGCTGGGGGGTGGATTATTTGCAGCCTCCCCCCGACCTAGGGGCAGCCTGCCATGTGGCTTCCTGCTTGCTCGCCGCGCTCAGGAAAGGGATTCTCAAAGCCCAACTTTCCTGGAGAGCTTCTCCTCCTCCTTGTCACTCACTGTCAGTTTTCTGCCTTCAGGCCAGAGCTCATCCAGCCATGCCAGCCACTTGCAAGCTGGTGATTTTGGCTCATCTGTGGGTTTGCAGCCCTCAGAGCTGCAGTGCTGGGAGACAGAGCCTGGAATAATTTGGGGGAGGGCTGCAGTTCTGCTGAAACTGAGCTGTTGTAAGCTCACCTTGTCTCCTAACCCCCTGTATTTGCTCACCATTGCTCGTACGAGGTTGGTAGCACGACTGGCATGGTGCTGGCTGCAGTTTGTCTTATCTGCTGGGGAGTTCCTCTGGCCTCACAGATCTCTCGGTGTCCCTCCTGCTTCTGGAAAGTAAGTGCTTGCCCAGCTCGTTGGAACAGGAGCCACAAACTGGAGTATCAGCCCATTTTCAGTGGCTTCCTCTTAATACGTGCTGTTATTGTACTTAATTGCTTTAATAATCGGTTTTGCTCCTGGTGAGAGTCAGTTCTTTGCTTTTCCCTCCTTTGTGTTAGTGGGTCAGGCAGTAGAAACAAGATGAAACGTTACAAAATCGCTGATTTCCTCCTTTTGAAGTTGAGGCTGGTTGAAAGGGAGGAGGGTAAAGAGGATTTTTTTGGGACCCAGTGGGGTCTGCGGGGTGAGCGCTGGAGCAGGCTGGTGGACCTGGCAGCCGGGCTCTGCAAATTCCTTGGATACCTGTGAAAGGTGCAGGTAACACCCTCAGAGGCATGTCTGAGTGCTGGGCTCTTCTTTTTGGCTGCCTGACAAGGCCTCTCCTTGTTCCACGTAACCCTCTAGGGAGCTCTTGGGCCAATTAAGTTTTAATTTAAGGGACTGATGGCCACGAAAAGCTCTTGTCCCTCTGGGGAATCGCTGGTGCCCAGCATGCTGATGGCAGAGTCCTTCAGCAGGGGCTGGCACAGGAGGCTGTGGTGTCAACCCTGTCCCATCGCTGCGGTGCTTTCCTGCTGCCGTTGTCCCTCCTGAGCCGTAACTGCTTAATTACCAGCTGGAATTGAGTTTCTCCAGCAGTTGGCAAGGCTGTGGCAATTGGGAGAGGGGCAGTTAATTAAGAAACCTGTTGGGCTTTGCTCTTGCTGCCCGGGAGTTTGCTCTCCTCACAGGGGTGTTAAAATCCTATGGGAAGGAGAGAGGGGGGACATAATTCACAGCCAGCAGGTAAGATTTTCTTTTCTAAAACATCCAAAAAACCAGTAAAAACCACTCCGGCTGGCCTCCCACCTGGCGGGAGTGTATTAAATACTTGCATCATGTCATCTTAGTGCCAGCAGTGGCCTAATCTTAACAGCTTCATCAGCGAGGGAGATCAGAGCTCCTGCCCCAGGCACGGGAAGGGATTGTGGCTGCTGATCTGCCGGGGGCTGGATCTGAGCTGCTCCTGCTGCTGTGTCTGTGCCTGCCTTCCTGGGAAGGGGAGCTTTGTCTCTGAAGAGTTGGTAGGGTGAAAAGCTGGAGAGGAATAAAAGTCACCGAGGGTTCCCTTGTAGGAGCTGAATTTGGGAGCCAGAACTAAGGCAAGCAGCTCCAAGGAGGGAAGTGAAATAGGATTTTAGGAGCTGTTGGGGCGGGGAGTGTGAATAGGCTCTCTTTTTGTCCCTTGCTTTTAATCCTGACTTTATGCCTAAAGCTTTAACGTGTTTGGGATGAATGATTGGGTGACCGCGTGGCTTTGCCTGCTGCATCCTACAGCTCCGTGGCACCACGGTGGAGCACGGGGCCGGCTTCATGGGGTGGAAGGGCCGCAGGGTGCTGCGCTTTTGGGACACCATTGTGCATTGTGCTGTGCTCACAGGGACAGGAGGCTGTGACTCACCCTCACTGGAAACTGTCCGCTGTGATTAAGCGCCACTGTGGGTGGAGGGGAGGAAAGGGTGTGATGGGCTTCTTATTTTTTTTTTTTCCCCCCCTCAAGTAGGTCATTTGAGTCAGAGCTGACAAAACTCAGGAGGTTTACAGAACCATGAATGGCTGGCTCCCTGCCAGTGCCTGACATCTTCCTTGCGTGAAGGTGAACCCGGGCCAGCCCTTCCCAGGGCTGTTTATGGATAGCTGGTGCTTTATCATAAACTCCGGGGAGAGGAATGCTCGCCGTCATGCGAGAGCAGGAGCTTCGTGCCAGTGCTTGCCCGGGGTTAATTACTGCGGTGGGAAGGTGGGTGGGCAGCGGCTCCAGGACACTGGAGAACAGCAGAGTTTGGATTTACGCCCCTAAAGGTGATTAATTCTCATTTCAGCAGGAACAGGCTTTATGGCTGAAAGCCCCCATGGAAGGGGTGAGCCAGGTCTGGCAGCGCGGTGTCCCCTCTGCCCTGGTCACCAGCACGAAACACCTGTGTCCCCTCACCTCTGCCACCCAGCAGGGAGATCTGGGCTGTTAACTGCTGAAAAAGTAGTTTTTAAAGTATTGGAAAATGAATAAACAAGAAGTTCAGTCATTGGTAATTTGGGAAGATAAAAAGAAGATGAAGAGCACTGAGCTGAGCTCCTGGGCCCGTGGGATGGTGCCTTCTGCAGTCTAAGGGCTGTGTCTAGGTGAGGGAGCAGGCTGAGAGCTTACTGGGTGCCTTGAAGCCTCCTTTTTGAGTTTCATATTACAGCGGGATGTGCCAAAGCTAGCATTTGTTTTGGCTGCTGTCGGGCTGGTTACCTTACGTGTGCCAGGCTCCTTGAGCTCCGAAGCAAAGGTGTCGCTTGGCACAGGGCATGCTGCGTGCTTCAGCCCCTGGCCAGCTGAAAAGTGCCTCAAAAGGAGGTGTCTTTTCCTGTGGTGGATTTCCAGGGCATAAGCCTGCTTCCTCTCCCTCTTGTACTGCAAACTTAGCCCCCGGGGACCTGCTCAGCACAGAAGTTAGCCATGCAGGATGCTTTCAGGTCCTGGGCATGAGGCCTGGCTTGCAGGAGCAAGTCAGTCCCTCTCCTGAGATCCCTTTTCTTGGTAACAAACCTGAAGTTCTGGGCAGGGCTCAGTGGGTGGAAATGCTGCCTGGCCCCATGCTAACGGGGCGCTGTAGGGCATAATACAGCAGGGCACAGCACCTCGAGCCTCACAGCGCTCTGAAATCTTCTTACGCTTGTTTCTAGGCTCCTGTTTGGTTTCACTGAGTTGGAATGGTAACGGGAGCTGCCGGAGGTGCAGGAAGCCTCTTTGAAAGGCAGCTGGAAGGAAAGCCTTGCAGGCCGATGGGCTGAGCTTACCTCCCTGCTGCCAGCAAAAGCCGTCAGCACACGTGAATTTGATGTTTATTTCCTGGCTTAGTTAATTCAAATATCCTTCTTAATGAGTGAATTTATGAAATCCCAAGAAGAGAGCTCGTGGTTGCTCTGGAATGGAGCTTTTCTAGTGGCTGCTTACCCCAAGTCTGGCATGGGGTAAGGGTTATGGTCATCCGAGAAGAATTTTCAGCTAAAAGCTTCTCACCTTCTTCCTTTTGCACCCTTGTTTCAGTGGCTGTGAGATCTCTTACTTGCCTCTGGATGATATCACTGCTGCCAACGTTTTCCTCCGAGGCACCCTGTTCATTCTCACTGTGCACAGAGGGAGACTTGTGATGGGTTTCTTCCTTTTCTTCCCCTTGGTGGAGATGTCTTCTGCATCCTTCTTGTACACACATTTATAGCAAATGCACAGCTTCCATTTGTCTCGGGGCCACACAGTGCTTCAGCTGCCTGGCACGAGTTTCTCATAGAGCGTTCCAAAAACAGATGAAGATTTCAGGACTTCTGTATATAGTCTTTATTTAAAAAAAAAAATCATTTACTGCAAGGACTTCTAGTTCTTCGTTGTGCTGGGGTGTCACTGTGGGAAA